TTTATATTCAAGGCATAAATAATTTGAATAACACTCACATGGTCTCCGAAGAACAGAGATATCACAGAAATCGGGTAACCGGGCCGAGAACACAGCTCTTCAAACACCTACAATTATTAGAATAGCCTATAAACGTATATCTGACACCAAGATCATCAGAATTAAGGCACGTAAGGTTCACACCATCAACACATAAACAAACTCAGCCCATATAAGTCGCATAAGAAATACTTAAAAAGGGAAAAAAATATTTTTCACCCCAATACAAAGACACATTAAGTTTTTCACACCGCCCAATAAAAAACTAAGTTTTTCACCCTGGAAAGTTCGAAGGTTATGCAAAAACTGTCGCATATTCATCGCATAACTGTCGCATATGCGAAAAACTGTCGCATAACTATCGCATATCAATTGCATAACTATCGCATATTCATCGCACAATGCCTTCGCACTTTAACTTTTTTTCATCCCAGAAAGTGCGAAGGGATATGCGAATGCCTTCGCACTTTTAACTTTCGCACAATGTCATCGCGCAATTATCGCATATTAATCACACAATGCCTTTTGCACTTTCTGGGGTAAAAAACTTAGCTTTTTATTGGACGGTGTGAAAAACTTAACAAGACTTAAAAACGGGGTGAAAATAGCTATTTCCACTAAAAAGAATTTCCATTTTCGAAAACATAACATAAGTTTTTCGAAACTTAACCCGCGTAGCGATTTTGAAAACAACACGACTTGCAGCATATAAATCAAATAAACACGATTCGAGTTGAATATGAATCCTAAGACATGCCTCTACAATTCTCATGAAGACATAGAAAACAAATAAGGGCATTTAGCATGAGATAACTCGACGAAAATTTTAACCTAGATGCAGTCAGAAAAACTGGAACATTATTTATGTAAAGCCTCAGTATTTATCGAATAAGTTAAGCTACTGACCTCCAAACGACTTGACTTGGAAACCAAAATGCAGCTAACTCAATTATCTACAACTTTGCTGAATAGCCTATTGACAAGTAATGATTGTATCTCTATGTTTAAACACAAATCATTCGACTCATAAACACTGCCAAAAACTAATTTCAGGATACGAACAACACTTTAGTTATTAGACTCTAACTCATGCTACAAAACTTGAAAAGACCTGATTCAAAAACTTATAGACAACCAAGAAGCAAGGCAACAATTTTCATGAAGATCACTGCTTATTTTGAGCACATAAAAACATCGAAAACAAGTCATACATAAAATATTACAAGCTGTCGGGTTTTGTTAAAAACTGCTTGCGTGATAATTTTGTAAAAATCATAACTAATTTGTTTCAAATCGGAATCACATGATTCCAAAGCCCAGAGAAATTTAACGAAAGGAACTACATATCTCATGAAGGAATCGATTTCAAATAACATGTCCCTGAGGGTCATAATAGCAGTGTAACAGAGGCTAGAAAATCATGATAATCATGCTATAAACAAATCAAACGAACGGGAAAACGACAACTCGGAGAATGATTTCGAGACTCCGAAACAAACCAAAATATTCACAGCAACATTACGATACTCGTTTTTACGGAAACTAAAGCTTTAATCATTCAGGTAAAGTCACAATAACATGAACGAACAAATAAACGAATATATAGACAAATTGAAATAAATCCTACTTCAAACAAAAATTCGATGTAACGCACGACATATATCCAATCTCATGATATACGAGCATGAACGAAATCACGAGAAGGTTCGAAAATATTACCCGTCTACGGGAAACAAATCGGAAATTACAGGGGGGGAGGGGATTGAAGGGCTCGTAAATCTTTGAACTTCTGATCGACCTTCACTCGGGCATGGCTCGCGGAGGAGCAACGTCCTCGATGATGACTGTGGGGTCGCATTGCAACACAGCGGTGCTGCGGGATGGCTCCGGTGGGGGGGGAGGAGGGCAGCGTCACAAGGTGGCTCGCGATGGAGGATGGTGATGGCGCTGCGGATGCGTGAAAATGGAGAGAGAAGGTGATGATGGCGTGATGATGGGGCCACGGTGGTGGGCTCGCGATGGACAACTGATCTTCGGTGAGGACGGCGATCAATGGTGGCGAAGCGACTGAATTTTCTCCCTCTGCTGGACGAGAGAAGAGAGCAGGTAGCAACTTTTTATTTCTTTCTTTCTTTTTATTCTTAATCGCGAAAACAGAGAGACGAGAGATCGAGAGAGATGATGGTGGCGTGATCTATTTTATTTTCTTTGCTCTATTTACGAACGACAGAGATAAGAGGGATGGAGCGACCTGGTTCTCCTTTCTTTTTCTTTTTCTTTTTTTTTTAAATGATGGTGAGAGCGATTTTATCTTCTATGTTCTGCTTCTAACTCACGAGCGAAAGGATTGAAGTGGGAGAATAAAAGCTGGACGGTGATGGTGAGAGAGCGGGTTTAGTCGTACTAGAAGAGAGAAAAAGGATTGTTGAATGATGTCTGCGGGAAGTATCGTAAGAGAAGGAGAGGTTACACGATTAATATAAGCTTAGGGTTTCCCTTACAATCTTTCCATCCAAGCAAACCACAAGAGAGAGAGAGAGAGAAAGAGAGAGAGAGAGAGAGAGAGAGAGAGAGAAACGGACGGGTCGGGCCGCCCGAGTGTGGGGCGCGGGGTACAATGTCGGGTCTCTTGCTTTAACTCCTACGAATATTCGGGCCCAGTTCGATTGAACGGTTATTAAAATAAAACTGGAATATATTATTATTATCATCCACCTCGGTAATCCAAAGTTAGAAGCCTCGAACTACGTATTAAGTGGATTATTACTAGCAATGACGTGGCTAACAGTTACCCCGGTCCGTCCACCGAACCGGCCAAGCTACAGAAGACCGAGGTGACCCTCACCACCGAAGTCATCCCAAAACCGAAGTCTCTGCGCCTACACGCCACCTTCACAAACCACGAGTCAAGTGGGACCTGCTGACAGTGCCGCCCGTTAAAAGTAGCTTCATGAAAAAAGCTGTGCGCAAATCCCGATACGTAAAGAGTTACTATATATAGCACACCCCTGATACTTGTACGGGGGATTCCGGAACCGAAATTTCTATCATGAAACACGAAACCACTCACAGAAGCTTTCCACCTCGGTTCACCTCGGACCGGGGACATTGTTGAGTGTTTATTTCATGTCTTACGTTAAGATAATCGGTAACAATCACCTAAATCAACTTTCAAATCGTTGTTAACAATCAAATAACAACAATTATATATATATAATACACAATAATATTTATTTACACTAAACATTTAGACAAATAATAATAATAATACTAATATTTATAATAATAATAATAATAGCAATTAGGCATTTAATAATGACAACAACAATAATAATGCGATAATAAATATAATAATTAATTCCAAATAATTCATAAACAAACGGGGCATTATAACAACTCGCATCCATCATACTCAACAACTCGCAACCAGCCGTGGTATCGACCAGCTGATCGATTCTCGGCAACGAGTAGTGATCTTTCATGCATGCTAAATTCAAGTCTCGAAAATCGATGCACATGCGCCATTTGTTTAATGTCGTCCTTACCATCACCGTGTTAGATATCCACTCAGGGAACTTTATTTCTGTTGGTGGTATAGACCGAACGAGTGGTGATAAGGGAAAAGACGAACCGGATGCATTCGGGATCAGGCCGCTGTCGAACAGATGGGAGAGAATAAGCGAGATCTGATTTAATCATTGCCCAAAGCCAGCCGTACTGCACGCATTAAATGCAAAGATATACAAAAATCCCCTATCCGACGGCGAAGGAAAAATGGGGATGCGTGGCACGATCAGGACGGATCTCTGGTATCGGGAATAGATTGTCAAGTACAATTAGTATTTAATGTGGAATGACTAATATCTAAAAATATCCTACAAAAGGAAATGAAAAAATCCCCAAGAGGGAAATGTAAAAGGTCCCTAAACTTTCTATATAAGGGAGGAGAGGATATCATTTAATGCAATGAGTAAATACTCTCATTAATTACTCTATAAGTCACGGATAGCCTGAGCATTCGGACCAATAAATTAGACCGAATCACATACATAAATACTATTCATGCAGACCGAACATAGCATACATCTTAGTGTGCAGTTCGAACACATTGTTGGTCATTTTTAGACATCAACAATTGGCGCTAGAGGAAGGGCTATTCCAGCATGTCAAAAACAACTTCATCATCATCAAGCCAAAGTCGCTGTCGAGACACGCCGGAAGAAAGGGAAGACCAGTGAAACAACCAAACTACGAGGACGGACTACTCAACTTTTTTCAAAGACCCAAATTTTGTTGAAGGAATATCAAACTTAATAACACAGATTCGACCCTCTACATCTGAAGCACCTAAAACCCCAGCCAAGAAAGACCTTACCAACACTCTAAAAGGCAAGGAAACGGACGTTCACGAAGAGACCACTCGATCGCGCGGGAGCACGAAGGAAAAATCTACCACCCGGACAGAAGATGAACAGACAGACGAAAGTCACCCGGTCACGGACACTCGAACCCGCAACACCACCCGGTCGGTTTTCAAACGGCTGGGAAAAAACGTGGCCGACGACGACTTGAGGAAAACATTGCTCAGAAAGCGAACGACTCAAGCCGAAGAATAGGAAATGAAAAGTCTCCGAAGAAGAATAGCCGAACTCGAAGCTCGACGTTAGGCCCAAAAACGACTTGCCTCTACCGGATAGGACCTGACAGAAGTCCCTCTCAAGCGAGCCGCGACCACCTCAAGGGCACGAACCGAGTTCAACCCAGCCGAATCTGAATCACCCCTAACATTTGATATTTTGCAGGAACAGTTGCCCGAGAAGATTAAGATCCCACAAATTGGATTTTATGACGGAACATCCGACCCGGACACCCACCTGGGACTATACACGTCGTGGATGGACCTACATGGAGCACCGGACGCCCTGCGTTGCCAGATGTTCTCATTAACTCTGGGAGAAAAGGCGCAAAGATGGTACCATTCGCTCGCCCCACATTCGGTCGCTAGGTGGTCACAATTGAAGTCGATGTTCCGAACACACTTTATAAGATCCCAAGCATGCCGAATTCCTAAAGAATGGATCATTCATATTGTCCAAGGAGCGGACGAAAACTTGAAGGATTATATCACTCGTTTCAACGAACGGGTACAAAACATGGAACCGTGCCATCAAGAGTCCCTGCTCGTTTCAACATATTCAGGATTGAGACCAAATTCGATGTTCAAATGGACCCTTTGCCAAAACAAGCCCCAGACGTACCACGAATTCCTGATGAAGGCTCAACAGCATATCATGGCGGAAGAAAACATGTCCGTCCCGTCATTTCCAGCCCTGAACGAACCACCTACCAAAGCGAAGGAATCTCGACCGAACAAGGAGTTCACGAAGGACGGAAGAAGTGCTCAATTCCGAGCGATGCAGAGGAAACATCACGAGGAACTCACGAACAGCTACCAGGGAGTGTATTCGGCCGGTGCGGCCGTAGTGTACGAAGAGCTGAAAAACAAGGGGATCATCCCAGACCCTAAACCGATCAGGGCCGACGAGGAGAATTTAGACAAAAGCCGATATTGCGCTTACCAGAAATCGCACGACCACAATACTGACCAGTTTCGGAATTTGATATCTGCTCTGTTAAAACTAATTGATGATCCGCAGTTAAGGAGGTTCACTAGGATGGACGGAGGCAACCGGAGGCCAAGAAACGATGATCGAATGAACCCAGGAGATGAGCTCGACTTTGGAGCGAATCCTCGGAGAACGAACGAACATCCTAATGAAATCTTGACGATCAATCAGGAGCAACGAGGTGAGACAAGTGCATCCGGGGGAAGGAAAAGGACAGCATCCGGTCGAGACGAAGAGCATTCGGTTCACATTCCAATCCGAAGAAGCGGACTGCACACAAGGGTCAATACGAGCTGAGAGAGTACAAGCGTGTCAAGAAGGCAGGTCAAGGCATATGTCCGGAAGGCATACATCACAAGACACCAAGTCAGCCGAGCGGAGGTCAACCGACACGTGCCCATGCCCACGAACTTAATAATGTTTTCGAATAAAGATTCTCTCCCATTCGATAATCCGCACTCAGACGCGCTCGTAATCACAGCCCCCATCTTCTGAATCCCAGTTCACCGAATCATGGTGGACACTGGAGCGTATTCAAGTATCTTGTATTAGACCGCATTTCTTAAAATGGGGATAGATCGAAGCCAACTGCGCCCATGCAACGACCGCATAACAGGGTTCAACGGACAAGCAACCATTCCCGAAGGAGAAATCACATTACCAATCGAGCTCGGAGGATCAAGAGCGAAAGGACGCAGGATCATACACTTTCAAAGTGGCGAAAACGGCCAGCGAGTACAACGCCATCCTTGGACGAACAACCCTATACAAACTGAAGGCAGCCGTATCAATCTTCCACTATTCGATCAAGTTCCCAACTGAGAACGGTACAGGAGTCCACTACGGTAACCAAAGGGAAGCAAGAGAGTGCATCATGGCGATCCCATCATTAGAGATACACTTGGTCATGATGAAGAACGAGGAAGAGAAACCGATCATCGAACCAATTGGAGAACAAGAATAGTCGGATGAGCAAGATGAAGAAGTCCAGCCCGAACAGCCGGACGACAGTGCGGCCAAAGGACACACATATGAAAGAAAGAGGATGAGGGAAGAGCCGATCGAGGGCCCAGAAGAGGAAGACGAGTGCCCTTTGTCGATGTTATCAAACGCAAACACACCCTCACCCCTGAGAGACGAACAGGTCGAGAAAGTTGTGGAAGAATCGGAGGCTAATCACTCCGACCCGGATGGAGAATGAAACCAAAAAGCCCCCCAAGAGGAGGACGATCCGTTCGATGAGGAGGACCGAACGGCAGACCGGGGCCGACGACCAGGGAAGGAACTGATCGAAGAAAAAGATGAGTTGGACCCCCGAGATCAATTCAAAGGAAGGAAATCCGAACGGGCCAAACCCAGCGAAGACACGGAGGTGATCTATCTTGACGAGCCGGCCTGCACCAAGTCATTGCGCATCGGACAAAACATAGGCGAGCCCATCCGGTCCAGGTTAATTACTTTTCTAATCGAAAATACAGATGTCTTCGCCTGGACGCATGAAGATATGGTGGGGATCGTTCCAAACTTAGCGTGCCATAGCCTTCGGGTCGATCGAACGGTGAAACTGATCGTGCAGAAAAGGAGAAAGCTTGGACCGGAACGACAGGAAGCACTCGAGGGAGAGGTGATAAAGCTGATTGACAATCGGTTCGTACGCGAAGCTAAATATCCAGTTTGGGTATCCAATCCGGTTCTGGTAAAGAAGAATAGCGGGACATGGCGATTATGCGTCGACTTCAGCGATCTCAACCGGGCCTGTCCCAAAGACAGTTATCCATTACCCAGCATCGATTACATGGTGGATGCGACGTCCGGACACGAACTCATGAGCTTTATGGATGCCTATTTGGGATACCAACAGATCCCAATGGACCCAAACGATGAGGAGCACACATCTTTCTATTCGGCCAGAGGACTCTATTGCTACACCATGATGCTATTCGGTCTCAAGAATGCCGGCGCAACCTACCAGAGGCTCGTAAATAAGATGTTTGCAGATCAGATCGGAAGAACCATGGAGGTTTACGTGGATGATATGCTTGTTACATCTGTTTTTGCGAACGATCATGTAACCCATCTTAATGAAATGTTTTCTATTTTGCGCGATTACTCCATGGTGTTAAATCCCAAAAAATGTACGTTTGGGGTAGGTTCGGGTAAGTTTTTAGGGTACATTGTTAGTCAAAGGGAAATTGAAGCAAATCCCGACAATATTAAAGCAATACTCGAACTAAAACCCCCTAGGTCAATAAGGGAAATGCAAAGTCTAACGGGTAGATTGGCAGCTTTAAACCGATTCATATCAAAGTCCACCGACAAATGTAAGCCCTTATTCGAGGCTATTAAAAAGAATAAAAAATTAGAATGGACCGACGATTGCCAACATGCGTTGGACTACATCAAGGAATCGCTCGTTCGACCCCCCCGTTCTCCAAAAGCCAATCCCGGGAGAGATGTTGTATTTGTACCTCGGAGTAACCCCGACCGCGATAAGCGCCGTACTCATTCGGGAGGAGAATTTGAACCAACATCCGATCTATTACATAAGCAAGGCATTACATGAAGTCGAGGTCCGTTACCCACAAATCGAGAAGTTAATCTTCGCCCTGGTGACGGCTTCAAGAAAACACAGGCCATATTTCCTCGAACACCGGGTGACATCAGACTATCCTATTCGGCAAATTCTCTACAAGCCAGATACGTCGGGAAGAATGATCAAGTGGGCCGTAGAGCTTGGGCAGTTCGATCTACAATATAAACCACGGACGACGATAAAGGGACAAGCGCTGTCCGACTTCGTGGCCGAGTTCACAACGGGCGCCGAACCGGTCCAAACTACAGAGACTTGGGAGATGTACATAGACAGATCGACCACAACCGACGGGTCCGGGGGAGGAGTTGTGATCGTCAGCCCTCAAAGAAAGCTATATTGCCATTTGGTCCGGTACCTGTTTGCCGCGACTAACAACGAGTCCGAGTACGAGGCACTGTTATCCGGCCTGGATTTGGCCCACTCGATGAACATCACGAATTTAAAAGTGCATTCTAACTCAATGTTGTTGGTAAAGCAAATCTCGGGGGAGTTAGAAACGAAGGAAGCCCGCCTGGTACCATACTTACATTTAGCTCGAAAGAAGATAACGCAAGCGAACATCCAGCTCGTGCACGTTCCCCGATCGGAGATTTCCCAGGCGGACGCACTGGCACGATTGGCATCTAGCCGAGGAACTGACGAAATCGAGTACGTTTACACACGCCATCAAGAGAAACCGGTCGTTCAGGTCGAGCGGATTATGAGGATTGAAGAATCGGCCGCTACCAAAACCCCCGGATGGATGGACCCGATCCGATCATACTTGTAGAAGGGAGAACTTTCCGCTGATCCCAAAGGAGCCCGGTCATTGAGGAGCCGAGCGGCAAGGTATACGATCGTAGCAGGGACATTATACAAGAGAGGCTATTCGAATCCATTGCTCAAATGTGTGGACGACGAAGAGGCCGAACGGGTCATGAGAGAAGTACACGAGGGAGTATGCAGGAACCATTCGGGGGGACGAGTGTTGGCACACAAAATATTACGACAGGGGTACTACTGGCCCACGCTGAAAAAAGACACGTTTAACCTAGTCAGAAGGTGTTACAAATGCCAAACGTTCGCCCCTAATCTGAAGCAACCGGCTCATCCGCTCACCTCAGTCTTCAGCCCCTGGCCGTTCGCCAAGTGGGGAATCGATTTAATCGGACCCTTACCAACGGGCAAGGGAGGAGTCAAATATGCGGTCGTAGCGGTCGACTACTTCACCAAATGGGTGGAAGCCGAGCCTTTGGCTACGATAACCGAGCAAAAGATGATCGATTTTTTGTGGAAGTTGATCATTTGCCGTTTTGGTATTCCACATTCTGTGGTAACCGATAACGGACGGCAGTTCGAAGGAAAGAGATTCGACACGTTTTGCGAAGAGCTGGGGATTCGACATCATTTCTCCACCGCTTACCATCCGCAGTCGAACGGGCAAGTAGAAGCCATTAACAAAATTATTAAACAAGGTTTGAAGGTACGACTGGAAAACTCAAAAGGGGCCTGGCCAGAGGAGCTTCCGAGCGTCTTGTGGTCGTATCGGACCATGCCAAGATCGACGACTGGAGAAACGCCGTTCTCGTTAGAATATGGGTCAGAGGCAATGGTTCCGGTCGAAATCGGATCAGAAACGTATCGAGTAAAGAATTTTGAAGAGGAAGCGAATAGCGAGGGATTGGGAACAGGTTTAGACTTAATAGAGGAAGCACGGACGCAAGCTAAACTAAAGAACGCAACATACAAACGGGTGACCGAGAGACACTTTAACACGAGAGTCGACTCTCGTCTCTATCAAGCAGGAGACCTCGATGTGAAGAGAGTAACGGGGCCGGATCTGGGCCCCCTGAAACCAAAATGGGAAGGACCGTATGAAGTTGAAGTCATACTTAAGAATGGGGCCTACCGTTTGAAGTACTTAGATAGAACCCCACTGATGTATCCCTTGAATGCAATGTATTTGAAAAAAGTATTATTAATAAAATTGTTCTATTCCGATCAAAAACAAAATGACCCCAAGTAGGGTAACAACCGGACCACTTAAGGTTGCCCGGTATCGGACCACTTAAGGTCGTCCGATCAAAAACAAAATGACCCCAAGTAGGGTAACAACCAGACCACTTAAGGTTTCCCGGTATCGGACCACTTAAGGTCGTCCGATCAAAAACAAAATGACCCTAAGTAGGGTAACAACCGGACCACTTAAGGTTGTCCGGTATCGGACCACTTAAGGTCGTCCGATCAAAAACAAAATGACCCCAAGTAGGGTAACAACCAGAGCACTTAAGGTTGCCCGATATCGGACCACTTAAGGTCGTCCGATCAAAAACAAAATGATCCCAAGTAGGGTAATAACCGGACCACTTAAGGTTGCCCGGCATCGGACCACTTAAGGTCGTCCGATAAAAAACAAAATGACCCCAAGTAGGGTAAGAACCGGACCACTTAAGGTTTCCCGGTATCGGACCACTTAAGGTCGTCCGATCAAAAACAAAATGACCCCAAGTAGGGTAATAACCGGACCACTTAAGGTTGCCCGGTATTGGAAAACTTAAGGTCGTCCGATCAAAAATAAGATGACTCCAAGTAGGGTAACAACCGGACCACTTAAGGTCGCCCGGTATCAGACCACTTAAGGTCGTTCGATC